CCTCATCCATCTTTAAGAGATTCAGTTCCAAAAGTTTTATATTGTATATTTAAATTATTTTTAATTTTTATAAAATTTTTAAGTTCTTTTTACTAATTGTGTAATAAGCATAATTCTATCTAGAAATTTTGTTTTTAAACACATGGAGCCTTCTAGTGATAAGAAGTTTTTTAAATTAATTTTAACTGCTATGGCTATTGATGGGATGTAAACTGATACAGCCACTATGGAAAATAGTATGGAGTGTTCTAAAAAAATTAAAACTAGAACTATCATATGACCCAGCACTCCAACTCCTGGGCACTTAACCAAAGAAACCCAAAACACTAATTCAAAAGAATATATGTGTCCTAGGTTCATTACAGCATTATTTGCAATAGCCAAGATATGGAAACACCCAAAATGTCCATCCACAGATGAATGGATAAAGATGTGAAATATAGTCCTAGCTGGTTTTACTCAGTGGATAGAGCATCGGCCTGCAGACCAAAGGTGTCCCAGGTTCATTCCAGTCAAGGGCACGTAACTTGGTTGCAGGCTCCTCCCCAAACCTGGGCTCTGGTCAGGGCTGGTGCAGGAGGCAATCAATCAACTCGTCTCTCTCACATTGATGTTTCTCTCTCGCTCTCCTTTCCACTCTCTCTAAACATCAATGGAAAACTATCCTCAGGTGAGTATTAACAACAAGAACAAGATGTGCAATATATATACACAATAGAATATTATTCAGCCACTAAAAAGAATGAAATCCTGCCATTTGAGACAACAATGGATGGACCTTGAGGGTATTATGCTAAGTAAAGTAAATCAAACCAAGAAAGACAAATACCATATGATTTCTCATATATGGAATCTAAAAAAATAAATCAAATAAAAACCAAGCTCTAACACAGAGAACAGATTGTTGGTTGTCAAGACCAGGGGGTCGGGGGTGAGAGAAATGTGTGAAAGGGGTCAAAAGATAAAAAAAAATAAAATTAATTTTAACTTATGTTCATAGAGGCCCGGTGCATGAAATTCATGCGGGGGGGGGGGGTGTCCCTCAGCCCAGACTGTGCCCTCTTGCAGTCTAGGACCCTTTGGGGGATGTCCGCCTAAACCGGCAATTGGACCCTTTTGCAGTCCGGGACACCTGCTCACTGCTCCTTAGCGTGCTGCGCTGCTGTGGAGGCGGGAGAGGCTCCTGCCACCGCTACTGTGCTCTCCAGCCATGAGCCCAGCCTCTGGCTGAGAGGCATTCTCCCTGTGGGAGTGCACTGACCACCACGGGGCAGCTCCTGTGTTGAGTGTCTGCCCCATGGTCAGTGTGTGTCATAGGGACTGGTCATTCTGCCATTTGTTTGATTTGCATATTAGGCTTTTATTATATAGAATTTTTGTTGCATAGAAGTATATAGAGTGATCAAAAGCAGACTTACAGGCTAATATATTACATTAGGATGAAATTCTGTGGGAGAATTGGAATGGAAATGAGTTTAGGGAGAAAAAAGGACCGATGTAAAATAAGTGGCCAAGCTCAAACTTGAACCCATGTCTGCAAGATTCCAAAGCTTATGGTCCTATGACTATACCCAAGGAAGACAAAGGATTCTATGCTTCATATTTCAAGGGTGTTTTAAATTCTGTTGAAATCTAAGACCCTTCTCCTCATGACTGTTTCCTTACTCAAAAAGAAACGGAAAAGATCAGCTCTGAGATTATACCATCTGAATTTAGTCATCCTGAAAGAAATTAAACCAAATTTCTTTTTGCTTCTCGGTGCTAGAAACATTACCAGAATGTAACACAAGTTCACAATTTGAGCAGGCTCTTTCCTTTTATCCATTTTGCTTATTCTGCAACAGAGTCCCTCACATATTTTAAGTGGAACAATGTGGCCACATGACCCACAATAGTTGAGTTCAAATCCAAAGAGATGAAGTGTTAAGAGGCAGGCAGGACTGACCAAGCCCAAGCAATGTGGGAGATCGCTGACTGGCACCTAGTAGAACATTACAAATATCTGAAGAAGGGAGGAAGGAAGGGAAGAAGGGGGTGGATGGGAAAGAAGGTGGGGCAGAAAGAAGGGGAAAGGAAAGATGGAGAAAGGAAGGGGGAGGAAGAAAGGGGTCTTGTGAGAAATGACCCACAACTAACACTGATTGAGCGCCAAAGGATGGCCAGATGGTTCCCTGGGAGAGGGCCTTTCATCTGGAGCCCTCCAGCTTGGGTGCCTCTTGGCTATTTGGGGCTGCACACTGGGCTGGTATTCTATTTGAGGCGTCCCTGCTTCGGAGTTAATTGTTCTCAGGATAAGAGTGGGGCAGATCAGCTCCTTCTTTTCCTAGCAAGTGTGAAGGAGAGTCTCTTTTACCATCCAGAAAGACCAGACTTCAGTGTTTCTCAGGGCTTGAAATGGGAAAAGGGGAAAGCCCAGATCCCTGGTGCCTGGGAGAGAGAAGGGAACTTTGCAAGGGTCTATGCCAGGGGTAGGCAAACTTTTTGACTGGAGGGCCACAATGGGTTCTTAAACTGGACCGGAGGGCCGGAACAAAAGTATGGATGGAGTGTTTGTGTGAACTAATATAAATTCAAAGTAAACATCATTACATAAAAGGGTACGGTCTTTTTTTTTTTTTTAGTTTTATTCATTTCAAACGGGCCGATCCGGCCTGCGGGGCCCGTGGTTTGCCCACTGCTGGTCTATGCTCTCTCCTAAAGGAGGCCAGCGCCCAGTTTGTGAACCCAGTGGGTGGGTGGGGGGGAACAGAAGTCATCAGATTGGAAGTACACAGCAGACTGCCTCCACTCCATCCCCTGATTAGCATGTATCTTCCTAGTCTTTACAAAGGAGAATGCCCTTCAGCAGGTGGAGGGCCCATCTTCCCAGTGCAATCCAGCTCTCACCTAGACAGGGACTCCTTTCGTAAGCCCTTCCCTCTCATCAGCAATCTCTCCCTACTGATTTATTCCTAAACACATTCTCATCTCTCAAATTAAAAACGAAGAAATTAACCTTTTGTCCCTACTTGTTCCTCTGTTCTACTCTACTTCAGTTTCCCTTTACAGTGAAATGTCTACACTATGTTGTGTAGACTTCAACTCCAATTCCCTCTTCAAACCTGTTCCATCAAACCCTTAAACTTCCCTCCACAGGCACCATCTTAAACTGAACCACCATCAGTTTTGACAAAGACTATTGGGAAAGGCTTCTAACTAGTCCTTTGATTCTCATTCTCCTCTAAACCTTTCTGATAGTCAAGGTGGTCTTTGAAAAATATAAGTCAGGCCTGTAATACTACTCAGCAATAAAAAATAAAAATAATGAAGCTGAGTGAAAAAACTAATCCCTAAAGATTACATACTGTATGATTCATTTACATAACAGTCCTGAAATGACAAAACTGTAGAAACAGAGGACAGATTAATGGTCACCAATGGTGAGGGACTGGGAGAACTGGGTAGGAGGCTGTGACTATAAAAGCAACAGGATGGATCCTTGTAATGATGGAACTATTTTATATCTTGATTGTGGTGATGGATACATGAGCCTACACGTGATAAAATTGTATACAATTAAACACACACACACACAAGTAAATCCAGGTAAATCTGAGTAAGATTGGTAGATTGTACTAATGTCAATATTCTGGTTGTGATCTTGTATTTTAGTTTTGCCTAGGAGCAGGAATGGGTAAAGGGTACATAGGATCTTTGTTTTATTTCTTATAAATGAATGTGAACCTACAATTACTCCAAAAGAAAAAAGAATTATAAATCAGATCATGTCATACCCCAAGGTAAAACCATTCATTCAATGGCCTCCCATTTATTTTGGAATAAAACCGTCTGCCCATTGACTAGATGCAGTTCATGATCTGGTCCCTGGCAACTTGTCCAACATTTTATTATGCTACTCTCCCCAGCTCTTTTGGTGTCCGACATAATCACCACCTTAGTTCCAAGGCATCAAGGTTTGTCCTCTCTTTCTGGCTTTTGTACATCTGCTCCTTATTTCTGGAAGGTTTTTCCCTGGCTGTTTTTATGGTTGCTCTTTTCATAACTTTCAGGGCTCAGCTTAAATGCCACCTCCTCCTGCCTAACCACACAATTTGCACCCTGTTCTTTTCCTGCATAGGTCTTATCCCAGATTTGATTATTTTATCATTTCTTTATCATGTGTCTCCCTCCCCGACTAGATTGCAAGCTCCCAGGGCAGGGTGGAGAGTGTTCTAGAACTCCGCGCTGTCTCTCCAGCGCCTGGCATAGTTCTTGGCACATAGGGAGGGCTCAGTAAACTGAATATTAAGTGAATGAATGAGTGACCACGTGCGGCTGCCATCAGTGTTTTTCTGAGTGATGTAAAGCTCTCTGGATGGTGGCTTTGGACTTATGGATGGGGCTCCTTTCGCCCCTTTCCTGCTTGTTACTAAGGGGAAGGGTCGCTGGCGGGTCCCTTGGCGCCACTCGGAACCACGCAGTTACGCAGTCGGGGGTCGAAACGGGTTACGTTCCGGGCCCCGGGCGCTTTGCAGGGAGTACGCAGGTTAGCTGAGGCCCCTGGCCAGGCCACCTTCGCTCTACTCTCTTTGTTACTCCCACCTCCCCAGCCCTGGGCGAGGTTGCCTGCAGTGACTCGTGACTCCCCACCGTGCTCTAAGGCTGCAGCGCCAGGGAGGAGGGCCCCGAGAGCCCCTAGCCCGCCCTCCTCTCCAGGCCAGGGTCGGCCCTACGGAGAAGCGCTCGCCGCCACCACCCCGCAGCCACCTCCTCCGCGCGCCCACGCCTTGCAGGCAGCGCCGCGGCTACTGAGAGGAGGGCACGTGGGCGCGCGGAGTGCGCGGTGCTCCGGCTCCCAGCCCCCCTGCCGGACCAGCCCCCAAGCGCTCGCCCCGCACCACAGCCCCCCACGGCAAAGCCTAGGCTGGCGCGCGCCCCGCCCCGGGCCAGCCGCGTCCGCCCCTGCGCGCGCTCCCTCCCCTCCCCGCCCCCCTCCCGCGCCCCTCCCCTCGCGTCCCTCCCGCGCCCTACATCTCGCGCCGGGCTGAGGGGGCTCAATCCGCCGCCGCCGCCACCGCTGCCACCGCTGCCGCCGCCACCGGGCTTCGGTCTCGGTGCAGGTAGCGGCCGCCGCCAGGACAACTACGCTGCCGAGCATCCCCAGGCAGTAAGCCCGCTTTCTCACCGCGAGTGCGTGCGTGTGCGCCTCCCGCCCACCGGCTCGGGTCCCCCGGGAGCCACTGCCCTATTGCCCCGCCGCCACCGCTGCTGTCGCTCTGGTCTGCCGGGCCTTCAGGGGCCGGCTACCTGCGGCCTCTGGCCCCAGCCGCTAGGCCTGGGGTGGGGGCTGGTATCTTGTATGATTACCAGCGTGCAATGGGCTGCACGCTTGCAGGACCCCCACACGGGGTTCGGCCTCCCCGGGGCTTTCGCTAAGGTGGTGGGAGATGGTGGGCGGTGGGGATGGGGAGCGACTGGGGAGGGAGAAGGTGGAGATGGTGGGGGGAAGGAGCGAAAGGGGGGCTTTCCGCGCTCTCCTATGCGGGATGATGGGGAGGGAGGAGGGAGAGAACCGGGCTCTAGGTTTTCTCACCCACGATGTCGGGCAGTGGGTGTGGGCCGAGTTGGGGGCACCTCTTGGTTTTCTCAACAAGCAGAGTTAGCAGGGTTTGTGGGGAGCGGGTGAAGATGAAGTGGGGGGTCTCCCCTTGGTTTTCTAATCAAGGATGGTGGGGATTGGGGAGGCAGTGAAGGGGGACCTGCCTCAATGAGGGTGGTGGGGGTGGGGATTCGAGGGAGTGGAGGTAGGGGGCTCGCCTGGGTTTTCTCCATGGAGATGCGGAGGGGTTGGAGGAGTGGGGGAGGGTGCAGGGAGAATGGGGAGCGGGGGAGAGCCCGCTGCGCTTCACTATAAGGGAAGGGCGGGGGATTGGTTAATGGAGGTGAGGACAGTGGTGGATTTCAGCTCCAGCGTGGAACCCAGAGAAGCTAGAGGAAGGTTCTATCATGTGGGTTGAGCCTTAGAACGTGGATTTTCAAAACTGCAGGGTGTAACCTTTCCACCTCAAAAAGCTTGAAATCCCTACAAGGTGCCGTCTGTTCTAGGCTCTGGGGGAGCGCTTTCTGCTTTCGAAGTTTCTCTTTCCTTTCCATTCCTCAAGGCCTCTTATCCTCCAGGACGAGGTGGACTTGTGGAAATCTGCAAAGGAAGGCTGTGTGTGGTTCGGGTTCAGTGCTGCATTATTTTCTGCATTTTGGGGCTGTGCGAGTCTCTCGGGTTTGTTTTGATTTTGCCCTTTACAATAAAAACCCTGTACCAGGGAGACCCCTTGGGAAAAGAAGAGAATACAGTTTATTAAGGGGACTCCAGGTTGGATTTTTAATATCCTGAAGGGCAAGAGATCTGTCATAGCATTTTTACTTGGCTTTCAGAGGAGGTAGAAATAGAATAAACATCGAATGTCTTTGCTGGAAGTCCCCTATATTCGTTTAAATTATTCCATCGGGATTATCCGAGCCCCCTTTGATTTGAATTTGGAATAGATCCTGTTTTCCTAATTGGAGCCATCATTTTGTAATTGCCTGTTATTCTTCCCTGGGTTATCAAATCTATGGCAAGCTTATAGAGCAGCAAGAATAATTTTTTTCTGTTATTTTGATTAAGACAGTTTTAATGTAAATTTTATGTTGTTCCTTGGAAATGTGAACATTTGCAAAATAGCATAAATTTATATTATGGGCCCCTTGGAATTTTGCAAAGCCTTTCCATTCCCAGCTCTTCTCCGGGAACAGAACCCCCGCCCACACACACACACACCCCATTCTTTACACTGAAAAAGCAAGGGCTTCTGGGATGATAGCTTTGCCTTTGGAAACTCATGCTCTTATTTGCTTAAGAAGAATACATATTAAAGAGGCTAAGGCCTTTAATGTGGTGAGGCTATATACTGCTTTCCCATTTTGGTTACATAAGGTTACAATGTAGTCTTTACCTTCAGTCTTTAAAATGCTTATTTAACATTTTGAAGAGCAAATATAATCTTTATGCAACAGGAAATTGGTCAGATAGGCCATGATTTGTACAAACCACCTCCCAACAATTACAGTCTAATACTACCATATAGGTTTTGTAGCCATATCTTGTTTTTGAAATTCTAAGCTACCATTCCCCTATTGAGTTTTTGGAGAAGTAAAGAGTTGTGTGTGTTTTTATTAACCAAGTCTAGATTTTGCGTGAAACATTAAAAAATATGTGTAAGATTTAAATTGTTAAAATTTTCTCTTGTATGATACCAGTGTATTGGAGCTAACTTAATAAGTATAAAATTAGTGAACCACTGAAATAAGATAATTATTTGTTTACTGGAAATGCTAACCTGAAAATGTTTAAGTAGAAGTAGAGATTTGGGTCTCAAAGATTAATGCAACTACATTTAAATAAACATTATTATATGCACCATTTCTAATGTTAATGTGATATGAAGTCTATGCATAGGCAACAATCTAAAAATAGTACAGTTGACACTTAAACAACACAGGTTTGAACTTCAAGGGTACAATTATAAGGTGGTTTCTTTTTTCAGTAAATACCTGTACTGTTTTCCATCTGCCTTGAGAGTCCACAGATATGGAGGGCCGACTGTCTGCATTGATCTACACAGTTTTATACAGGCAACTTGAATATGCACAGATTTGGGTATCTGTGGGGGTCCTGGAACCAATCCCTTGAGGATACCTGGAAGAGCCCTTAGGGGGTGAAAAGTCTTACTCTCTTTTTTTGTTTTGTTTGTTTGTTTGTTTGTTTGCCTTGGGGATTTAATTCTGATTAAATTCTGATTTTTCTCTCTTAGGAATAGAATCCCCAGAGGTAAAATCTTTTGAAGAGAGGAGAATGTTGATGGGTGGTGGGCCTCAAGTTTCTGTATTTAAAAAAGTGTAAATTGAGTGTCTTTTACCCAGCTTTTTGAGAACCTGTTGTTTGTCCTGGGACTGGAAGGAAAAAAAAAAGATGATATTTCAGAAATTAACAAATATATGATCAAATATCTTTCTAAATAGCCTTAAAGATTTTGTTAACATCCATTTGAAAAGTAATTTGTGAATCAAGACTTTGTGTAAGAAATTGCCCCACACCATTTGAAAAAAATAACAGTTTGTTGAAAGCTAACCTCATGAGACTGATCCCTGTTTTCCTGCCCTCCACTTCCTGGTTCCCTTCTTCCCCTCACCCCTCCCTTTCTCCCCTCTGGTGCCAGTAACATTGGCTATTATAACCTTGTGGGAGTTGAACAAATGTTGGCACTTGCTTGAACTTAACTCTTTGGCTGCTTTCCCCAACTTTTGCCTACAAAATTTTTTTGGTTAATTGAACTTTCCAGTTGTTGGGATTTGGGGTAAAAGGGAGTCAACTGTAATTATTTTCTCTTAAAAGAGCTTTTCTTTCAGCTCCTGTTGGATAAGAGCAAAGAAAGTGTTGGGTTTTTTTGTCAATGGAATACTTAATTAAGCAGAGTATCTGACCATTCATTTATTTAACAAACATTACTGAGTTACCTCCTCGGTTGGAGGCTGTGTGCTAGGTGCAGGGATGCATAGTGGATAAAAAATGACTTCTGGCCGAAACCGGTTTGGCTCACTGGATAGAGCGTAGGCCTGCGGACTGGGGGGTCCCAGGTTCGATTCCAGTCAGGGGCATGTACCTGGGTTGCGGGCACATCCCCAGTGGGAGATGTGCAGGAGGCAGCTGATTGATGTTTCTAACTCTCTCTCTCCCTTCCTCTCTGTAAAAAATCAATAAAATATATTTTTAAAAAAATGACTTCTGCCTTCTGGTGCAGTTACTAAATGAAAGATAGACAATGAATTTGTTGTGAATAATTGAGAGTTGTCCAGTCTTTTGGACATTAGCATAGCACTTTATTAGATATATTAAATATGCTTTAGTCATGCAAACAGTGGAGTCATTTCCAGAGAATTGTTCACTGCATAAATTTTATCTCACCTCCCCAGCTAAGACATACTTTTCATTTTGGGTAATAATATAATTTTTAAGTCTTCTTAAGCTTTATGGTCTTTTTTAAAAGATGAGTTTTATGTAAAATAAATAGGACATAGTACAATTCTTGATATTTAGATTCAACATTTTGTATCTCTTTATAGAGTAGTGAGAAGATGGTCAGGCCAGCATTCATTCCTGAGACTTAAAGCATCTTTTGACAGCATAGTGGGCCAAAAAATTTATTTTTCTGTGGTCAACTTAGAATTATCTTATATAATAAAAGGCTAATATACAAATCAACCGAACAGCAGAACAACTGGTCACTATGATGGACACTGACCACCAGGAGGCAGACACTCGACACAGAAACTGCCTCCTGGTGGTCAGTGCGCTCCCACAGGGGGAGCACTGCTCAGCCAGAAGCTGAGCTCACAGCTGGCGAGTGCTAAGGATGTCTGACTGACAACTTAGGCACGCTCCCCAAGAGCTCCCAGGATGGCTACCGGACTGCGAGAGGGCGCAGGCCAGGCTGAGGGACCCCCCCCCCCCAAGTGCATAAATTTCGTGCACCAGGCCTCTAGTGGATAATAATAGATGATGGAGCCCATAAGAATGGTTAATACTAAATAGTAGCACTAGTAAATGCTTGCCCTCCTGAAAGGCTACCTTCTGAGATCTTTGAGAATTCCCCTTTTTGTGAAGAATGCTAGACCAATGGTTTCTAACTAGGGCAGTTTTGCCCCCAGGAAACATTGAACATTGTCCAGAGACATTTTTGGCTGTTACAACTTGGGGCTTGGCATGCCTCTGAGAGGCCAAGAATGCTGCTTTCACATTCTATAGTGCACAGAGCTGGCTCTCCCCACCCCCACCCCCCAACAAAGTGTGATCTGAACCAAAAAGTCAATAGTGCTGAGGTTGATGTAATTTCCTCTACAGAATGCAATAAAATGTAACTTCAGGAGTGTAGAGAACAATGACAGTTTCTTGATGTGACTTGAGTAGTTTGTTGAGCTCACTTTACTAGTCTTAAAAGTGACTGTTTCCCATGCATGGACCGAAATAATTAAAAGAACAATAACAGCTACCATTGATGGTAATTACTCTGTGCCAGGCACTTGTATGCATGGCATATCCTCTTCATTTTATAAACGAGGAATCAGGCTCAGAGTGGTAAAGTAACTTGCCTTACGTCTCATAGCTGATTGAGGTTGGAAGTAGACATCAAAATATTGTTTACAAAAATGTGCAAAATATAGTTATGCACATTTCACAGATAAAATTAGTGAAGTAACTTGTCTAAGATTGCGCAACTAATAATCAGCAAAGTTGGGATTTGAACTTAAGTCCCAGGACTAAGCCACTGTCCCCTGCTGCTTGATCTAAAGTTTGGGGTTGATGAAAGGGGTGAGTTGAGGAGCAAGCTGCAGAGAGGTGAGTAACCAGTCCTATAAAAAGTAATTTCAGAGGTAATGTGTTGTAGTTGCTGGATTATATTCAGGTAGAGAATGGAGAGGTGATGAATTGCTGTACCTTCTTCAACAGATGAGAACTGAGTGCAACGTGGTACTCTGGAGATCTACATAAACTAAGCCTGTCGTCATTTTAGAAACTTCATTTTCTATCTTACTTGAATTTTTGGAAAACTTTTGATAATTGTACAACTGGAAGTTACTAAATTGTGTTTAGATCCTTTCTGCAGCTTACCTTCTACCTTCGCTAGGACTGTCATATAAAACGTAGTAATGCGGCCCTAATCGGTTTGGCTCAGTGGATAGAGCATCAGCCTGTGGACTGAAGAGTCCCAGGTTCGATGCTGGTGAAGGGCATGTACCTTGGTTGTGGGCACATCCCCAGTAGGGGGTGTGCAGGAGGCAGCTGATTGATGTTTCTCTCTCATCGATGTTTCTAACTCTCTATCCCTCTCCCATCCTCTCTGTAAAAAATCAATAAAATAATATATATTTTTAAAAAACGTAGTAATGCAACATTTGGTTTGTCATCTTTTTACACAATTTAAGCATTTGTTTTTTTTCTATCAAAATTGTTGGAAGTTGTTTTTATAAAAAATTTCATCAAATTCATACTTTTGTTTTTCATATGGGGGTGTGTTTTGTTTTGACAGCTAAATATTTCACTTTCGATATGTTGTGTTTTAGAGCATAAAAAGAGGAAAAATAAGAGACAGCCATTAGCAATCATATTTTGTCTGGCAAGCTTTTTTGTGGGTAGAAGAAGAACCTCGTGTTTCATTTCATTTACTTTAAATTGGAAAGGAATTTTAACCATGATTCTCAAGGGCCAGTATGCTGGGGGAGAAAAGAAATGTTATTTAGATAAAATGCACATTTTGATTTCCACTTAGGACTGTGAAGTAGAGATTTTGATTGTAATAATAATGTCCTGATTCTGACTACAGCAATCAGCCACTTGGGTAATCAACCACTATGTATGGATACTCATTGTGATACTGTCTGATTTTGTGCCCCCCTCCCATGGATTTTAGAATAGACTTGAGAGATCTGATCAAACTTGTAAGAACACACTAGTCCTTTTGAAAATCTAATTTTTTAATTATAAGGGTAGTACTTTTTCACTGTAGGGAAGTTCAGAAAATACAGAAAAGTCTAAAGAAGAAAATAAAAATGAGTTACAATCCACCACCCAGAAGTTAGTGACAATGTTTTGTATTTCTTTTTGTTATTTTTAATATGTTTTTATTGATTTTAGAGAGAGGAAGAGATAGAAACATCAGTGATGAGAGAGAATCATTGATCGGCTGCCTCCTGCACGCCCTCTACTGGGGATTGAGCTGACAACCCAGGCATGTGCCCTGACTGGAATCGAACCATGACCTCCTGGTTCATGGGTTGCCGCTCAACCACGGAGCCACACTGGTCAGGCTGTATTTATTTTTAAAATACAGTGATTTTCTAAAAAATTGTGAACTCAAGTCCTTTGTAAAATCTCTAACCTATAAGTGTAGTCTAATTTTTTAAAAATTTTAACAAAATTTCTGAATTATTGTTGCATCTCTAGATAGAACTCATGAGCATAAGGCGTGAAATGAGAAAGCTGCCAGGGAGTTGGAGGATTGTCCTGTGGCCTCTTCATGCAACCCCCTTAAAATTTCTCCTCCTCAAACTTGAGTGATAGAATTTCAGTGCTGGAAGGGACTATCAATACCCACCCCCTTCATTTTTCAGGTGAGGAAAAGGAGGCTCAAAGAGGTCAAGCACCTGTTCCAAGATCATATAATGTGTTAATGTTGGAGTTCCAGTTTGAAGTTATAGTTCCTCCATAGTAGGTAAGTTTTTATTTTCTAATTACAAACTTCTCATAGCCAAGAACTATTTGTTAGCCTGTCCCTCAAAAGAACAGGCTTTTATGGTGGAAGTATATTAACTGTACTAAAGGATACCAAAAAGCCCACATATTTCCTAATTTCAGAAAATGATCAAAACAGTTGTGAGCAGTACAGGAATTTTTCATATAATTTACTTTATTGAAATTGAGTATTAGTGATCGGGAACCTCTTTTGTGCGTCTGGCCCTCAGTTTAATTTTCCCTGGCCTATGGGGCAAGTACCAAGGCATATCAAACATGCCAAACAAGAGGAACAACAAACAACTTTTATGAGTCTTTACACATGGGAGCCAGAAGAACACGATTAAAGCTGTTGCTGTACAAAATTATTTGTTTCCTGTATAGAATGAGATATCTGTTAAAATTGTGGGAAAGAAATTTTAAAGATTGCATCTGCTTCCAAATTTAGGTAGGAAGTTAAGAAATTACAGCAAATGCTGACAATGTGGCATGATTAACAAGCATAACTGTTGTTTGAATTTGGCACTATTAAAGTTTTTCGGCTTTCCTCCCTCTCTTTACCCTGCTCTCCTTGCCTCTCTTTGTAGCTGTGTGGCTCAGTCTTTGTGTCTCCTTTGCCTGTGTGTCTTTTTCACTCTTAGTGTGACTTGTTTTTCAGTACAGCTGACTCTACCCACTTTCTTTTTTTTTTCCTGGTTCTCAGTGTATCCACATCATCATTTTCACGTTCCACTGTGTATCCCTTAGTAATGGGATAAGGCTTATCCCATTCACCAGTATTATAGTTATACCAACCTGGACTGGGCCAGGTCCTTTTTTCAGCCTAAGATGGGCAGGGAAGCTGCTGCCTGGAACAAATCTGGGCTAAGAAGAGCTGGTGTCATTCAATGCAGAATGTCACTGATAGAATAGAATTAAACAAAATCTGATCAGAAATAACATAGGCCGCATATACAGAGTGGGACAAAAGTAGGTTTACAGTTGTGAGTACAAGAAACAGTTTGGTGTTGTATTATTTTTCATATGAACAACTGTAAACTTTCTTTTACCCTTATAAACCTGTGAACACAAAATCATCCCTTCTCTATAACCAGGGCCCCAGCAAATGCTAACCTATGTGAGATAGATAATACATACTCAGTACTAAGGACTTACTATTTGAACAAGTGAGGAAATTTGACCCTTGCCTAGGGGTGTGTTCGTAAAGAGTTTTTGCTCCTGTTTCCCATTCATGCCCATTAATGAAAGTGTGCATTGTCAGCTCTTCCAAGCTTCCTGTAGCATACTGCATGCCTAGTAGAAAATGGGTTTTCTTCTGCATTTAAACAATGAGATTTTATTGTACTGTATTTTTGAACTTCTGTAGGTAGAAATGCACAGATAGAAGATCCGTGTGTGCTTTTTTTAAAATGCAGTGAAACCTACAAAAAGAAAAGAACAATTGCCTGGCCTGTGTGGCTCAGTGGGTTGAACATCAACCCATGAACCAGAAGATCACACTTCCTTTCCTGGTCAGGCCACGTGCCCAGGTTGCAGGCTCAATCCCTGGTAGGGGGTGTGCAGGAGGTTGTCCATTGATGATTATCTTTCATCATTGATGTTTCTATCTCTATCTCCCTCTCCCTCCTCTCTGAAATAAATAAAAATATATTTTTTAAAAACATTTTTAAAATAAAAGAACAATCAAAATAAGTCTCTGTGGTCAGCACATTACTTCTTGTGGAATTTATATTTTAATTATACACATAAAACTCTGGAATATATATCTCAAGACACAAAATGATCCATCCATAGTCTAATCACAAGAATTTATAGTATCCGCAAGGTTTTATGTATACTTTTCAATACTAAGGTAATGATAGCTAAGGATACTGAGATTTTATCATCAAGGTTTTTTAAATTGATTTTTAGAGCGAGAAGGAGACAGAGAAAATGAGAAAGAGACAGAGAAACATCAATGTGAGAGTGGAACATAGATTGGTTGCCTCCTGCACAATTCCGTATTGGGAATCAAGCCCTCAACCCAGGCATGTGCCCTGACCAAGAATCAACCAGAAACTTTTTGATGCCCAGCCAACTGAGCCACACTGGCCAGGCCTTATCAAGGTTGTTTTGACAAGGATGATACAAAACTAAATTTTTATACATTTTTGTCATTCACTTTCAGTTTTAGAGTATGGATAAGGCTGCTTGACTCTTGTCAAGTTTAAAAATGTGTGCTTTATGTCATGGCTGGTGTGGCTCAGTTGGTTGAGCATCATCCTGTACACTGAAGAGTCACCGGTTTGATTCCTAGCCAGGGCACATGCCTCGGTTTCAGGTTCAGTCCTCAGTTGGGGTGTGTCAGGGTGCTTGCAGTCAGAAACAATTGGTGTTTCTCTCTCTCTCGCTCTCTCTCTCTTGCTCTCTCTCTCTCCCTCTCTCTCTAAAATCAATAAAAACATTTTTAAAATGTGTTCTTTTATTAGGAAGAAATTAAGCATTAGTTTGTCAGTGATTGTGGGGATCTAGTTTTACATATCATTCTTGCTTGTGAAACTATTAGCATCTGCCTATAGACATGATCAATCATATGGCCTCTCATGTGTTCAGGTGAGCTGAAGTAACAGGTGTCCCCTGCCCACCCAGGTTTCTTAGAGACTAAAGAGTACATATAGACACAAAGATACATACACATGGATTATAAAGTCTCAAAAGTGTTATATCCCTAAGCCATAGTAGTGGGATTTAGACATATAAATCAACAAAATTTTATTTTTCAACATATTCTAAGAAATGTCCTGTAAAAAATTAGAGCTTTAAATACTTGAAATGATAAAGTTCCTAGCCAGAGAGCTTCTGGAAACTAAGGAGACACTGTAAGTTCCTTGTCAAAGGTTCCACATCTCCAGATGCCAGGGTTAATTCAAGTTTTAAGATCCTAGGACCATTTTCTTCTAAACACAAAAAATTGTGGCTCTATTTTTTGTGTGTTTGTTCAAAAAATGTTTTAAAAATATAGTTTTATTGATTTCAGATAAGAAGAGAGATGGAGAGATAGAAACATCAGTGATGAGAGAGGATCATTGATAGGCTGCCACCCCCTTCCCCCTCCCCATCCCCGGCACGCCCCACACTGGAGATTATTGAGCCCACAACCCAGGCATGTGTCCTGACCTGGAATCGAACAGGGGCCTCCTGGTTCATAGGTTGACACTCAACCATTGAGCCCCCTGGCTGGGCTCAAAATGTTTATGAGCTGAAATTGAATTTGGTTGTTAGACAACTTGTATTGTTACTCAAAGTCTCTTGAGTTTCAAAGCCAAAAACAAAGGTAATGATGGTCATGCATTTAGGATTCTTTCAAATTCTGGCTACAGGTAAACAACAATTCTTTATTTCATGTGTGGCCCCTTGGGACTCTGCTAAGCACATCCAACTGCAACATGGCTTAGGATTTTCATACAACCTTGCTTTTCACCTGCTTCACTAAAGGGTACTCTAAAAACAGAAGGTTGATATTTAGAAATACTGTACTTAACCAGCTCGAGAAACAAACATGTAAGTGAAAGGGTCCAACAATGTGCCTTAAAAGAGGCAGAGCTTCAGTAACCTTTTCCTCCTAAGCGCTGCCTCTTATTAAGGAAGGAACTTGGAAGGAATTTCCAATGTAGTAAGCTTACCTAACCATACTTAGGAAAGAAACCAAGCAGCTAAGCTAATAGGTGGTGAAAGTTTATACTTGCATATATAGCAGCAATTTTCAAATCTTTTCATCTCATGGCACACAAAGTAATTACTAAAATTCTGCGGCACACCGAAAAATATATTTTTGCTGATCTGAAAAAAAAATAAGTTTAATTTTGATTCATTCACCCCAGATGGCTATTTTTGTGTAAGCTGTTGTCATTTTTTTTATTTGACAGTCTAAGGCAGTGGTCGGCAAACTGCGGCTCGCGAGCCACATGGGGCTCTTTGGCCCCTTGAGTGTGGCTCTTCTGCAAAATACCACGTGCGCACGTACAGTGCGATTGAAACTTTGTGGCCCATGCGCACAAGTCGGTTTTCGGAAAGGAGATAGACGAAACAAGTATACAAGACGAGTGTGGATGGGAGAGTTTGAAGGGGTCGACCTCAGCGAACTACCTTAATCAGATTGAAGACATTTTTAGCAAAGGCCAGCTTAGGAGTACCCTAATTAAGTTAATAACAATGTACCTACCTATATATTTTAAGTTTAAAAAATTTGGCTCTCAAAAGAAATTTCAATCATTGTACTGTTGATATTTGGCTCTGTTGACTAATGAGTTTGCCGACCACTGGTCTAAGGGAAAGGAAGTCAGTGCCCCTGACTAAATAGTCACGTACTGCATGTTTTAAAAATTCTTGCAGCACACTGGTTGAAAATCGATGATCTATAAATAAGCAGGCAGCCTTTGTTAGAGTTACTTTAAAAATATCCACTCCCTCCCCACTTTATTAAGGAATAATTAATAAATATAATTGGATATATTTAAAAGGTACAACGTGAGGATTTGATATACATATACATATACATTGTGGAATGTTACTATCAAGTTTATTGAGTATCATTTACATAAAATAAACTGCATTTACTTAAAGCATATAATTTGCTGTTTTGGCAAATGTATATACCCATGAAACCACTGCTACAATCAGGATGTAGAATATTTTTATCACTCCCACAAAATTTTCCTCAGGCCCCTTTTGCAGTACATTCTTCCTTCTGCCCATGTCCCCAAACAACCACTGAGCTGCTTTTGTGTGAGAGCCATTTTCTAAACTTAGACTCGAAAATTTTTGGAGCCTTCTCTATCCAAAGACTATATTTATATCCAAAAATGCAATTTCTTTTCTATGTTTAAGAAAATAATACTATCCCAATTTTCTAAATATTAGTTCTTAACAAATTTGCCTGCAAGTAAACTACAGCATCCTTATTAAATAGCTTCATTGCATACTGTACTTTGATCGAAGGGA